CTCTCTTCATATAGCCGTAAGCCTTTTACATATCCATAAAACACTGTGATATAACCGCTCTCGGATCGGATCGCTTTCTCACTGCAATCGAACCGCTCCAGGGTTTGTTTCAATCGAGCCGAGACCACCTCATTCAAGCGATCTCGGAGCGATTACTTTGGCGCGGAACAGAGCGCGATTGCCCTGTTCACATATGCCAAACGAACCGCGCTAACTGGGCAAACGAGATACGTTCCGAAACAAAAGTGTAGGTGTGAAAGCAACCTCAGATATTAAAATCCCTAAGTCTTCATCCTAAGCGACGTTTAAATGAAGAGGAGTAAAATCTGTTGGGTTTTTAAAAGCAAAACAAATAAAGAGGTTAGGCCCCTAGCATTTGGAGAGCTCAAATAATTCTCCTTCTAAAGATAAATTCAACTCAATTCAATTTTTAAATTGCTTTTACAATGTACATTGTGTCAAAGCTGCTTAACATACAAGTTTTAGTAAAGTCTAGATTTTAGAGTCGGAGCTCAATTTACTTCAGTTCAGTGTGGTTTAGATTTTATTGCAGAAGGTTCAAACACTGAAGAGCAAATATATTGATGTGCACGGAAAAAAACTTCACCAACTACATAACAAAACATCAAAATAATAAAACTTCAAAATCTGGAATATTTAGACAGACATGTGCCCCAAATTTTAAATGTGTATAATGTCAGTTATATTATAACATCTAATTCATATATTTATTTCAATCTAAGTCTTACCATACTGTCTCCTTTGTTATTTCCATGTGCATTTCCCCACATTCTGACCTGTTCAGTTCAACCAAAAGACAGCATCAGACCAATAGTGAGCAAAGAAGAGAAATATGTTTGAAAACAGCCATTTATTTCTTATTTTTAAATCCCATTTGTCACCACAGATATTACACACTTCGGCCTTAAGCCTTGATTTTTTTTTTTTAAAGCATCTTCCCTCGAACAGACCATTTCTAAGCGCTCGCTGACAGATCAAAGTGCTGCGTTAAACAAATTGGGGCTGTGTGAACCTGAGAAGAGTGGGGGGCGTCGGTCCGCAGACGGGCCGCTAGCTTGAGCTGTAATCTGCGGGCGCTCGTGATGAATGGTTTGGAGTGCAGCTGCGCCTCCCATACCCACGTTAACCTTGTCCCTTCTCATCAGTCACCGTGAGGAGCTACGAGGCCGACAGCCACGAGGTGCTACAGATTCCGCCCAAATAGCACAATCATCGGCCGCTTTCCCACAAACCAACAGTCTCGCGTTTGAACGAGCTGCCACCACGCATTATAGTCATGATCAGTGTAATGCTTTCTGATTACTCCTATGTCACTTTGCTTCGGAATGGGTTCGATGAGACAAGTGTACATTTGTAAATATACAGTCTGCTGCGGTATATTTACTGATTGCTTTTTTGTTTTCTTTTTGGATGTCCTGTATGTCTCTGTTACCTCTTTGCATCTCCTCCTCATTCATGTGAAGTGCAGAAGCAGCGAAGCCTTATTAGCTGGTGGAGCTTGATGTTAATTTGGTGCTATCAGCACATGCTTAATGGGACTTTAATAGGATTAATGGGAATTCTCTAATGAGTCGGGGTGCAGCGTTCACATACAAACGGCAATGGTGAACCTACTGATGCTTTTCACTCGCTTTAAATGATGACAAATGAGTGAAATCCTGCGTCTTTTGTGATGTTTGAAGCTTATCTGCTGCACGTCTCCAGTAGAATTGATGTCCCTGCTTTGAGAGGCCACTATAAACCATTCTGTAACGTCGGGCGAGCTTTCAGAGATGCTATGAACTGTATTTCCACCATGAGGGTAACGAAGCGTCTCTGGATCGCGCTAGATAATTGCGTTTTTTATCTCATGGGTAGAGAGAAAGAAGGCAATGCGTCGACGTGAGAGAGGCTGCAAGAAACAGCAAAATAGAACAATCGAATGACACCGAGACTGAGCAAGGTTAGATGTGATTTTAATTTTTCATACACGTTTTAGCTCATCGCCTACAAATTGTTCCAATTCTCACAGGGCTGCAGGGACGATCATCCATGGAAATTTAATTTGAAAACTTCTGTTATTCGCATTTGAACTCAAGGGTGCGACTCCAGAGCGATTCATCACTGTCTGCAGACTGAAATAAATTAATGTAGGATTTGCGTTGGACAATTTTCAAGTAGAAATGATTAATAAATTCCACAAATAATTTTTCCCTTTAATTGGATTAAAAAATTTGAGCAGAAAGACTACTATTTTTTAGTAAAACATGCAAAGGTAATTTTTTTTTTATTTACAACATAAATCAATTCTGAAAACGTAGCCCTATATACATTTCTGGAGGTTTCGAATTATGTAGTCAAAAGTACGCAAGGCTGCATTTTGTCTTTAAAATAAACGATACAGGGCGGACTTTTCACACTTACCGGATGACCGCTTATCCTTGGTTTTCCAGCTGTAACCAGTTAGTCCAATTAGCTCTCCTTGTACGTCCGTGAACTTGACGCAGAGAGGAGTTGACCAAGTGGTTCCAGAAAGCGGGTAGGACAAAAACAGATGTCAAAAGAATAAAAGTAAATAACATGGTGAGAATGTGGTAAAACGTGGTAAAAATCAGGTGAGGGCTTTTTTTTTCTGGATAATTTTTTTTAAACTGTCGGTTGGGTTTAGGAAAGTAAGTGGACGGGTCAGTCAGTGTGTTTGAAAACACTATTGATTGGGTTTAGGAAAGGAGGGTGGGTCAGTCTATCAGTTAGTCAGTCATTCAGTCAGTTGTCAGCGGCCTCTGGTGGATTTATGTGAGAACAGCCGTGAATGGTACTCGTGAGAGAAATTTGAGGTCTCAAAAACATACACAATGGCCTCTGGTGGATTCGCGCAAACAAAATAACACAGCTCACCAAGTACATCACCAGACTTGACGCAGAGACTAGTTGACCTCGACAACAGAGTTCAAGTCAGCCGAAGAATTGTTCCAGAAAGTGGGTAAGACAAAAACAGAAGCAAAATAATTAAATACACAAGTAAATAACTTGGTGAAAATGTGGTAAAATCTAAAAATACTGTAAAAATCAGGCAAGGGTATTTCTTTTTTTGGATTGCTTTTTAAAACTGTCTGTTGGGTTTCGGAGAGTTTGTGTGCAAGTCAATTAGTGCTTTTGAAAACATTATTGGTTGGGTTTAGGGAAAGAGGAGGGTGAGCCAGTCTATTAGTCAGTCAGTCAATCAGTCAACAACGACCTCTGGTGGATTTACGTGAGAACACCAGGCGCGAATGGCCCTAGTGAGAGAAATTTGAGATCTGAAAAAGCTTACACAGCGGCCACTATTGGATTTACGAAAACAAAAACTGCAAAAAATTTAGCTCCTGGTACGTATTTGCCACTCTCCAGAAATGTATAGGGGTGCATAATCAGACTAAGCCTGGATTGTTTACTTGCGTTTTATAAATATGCAAGAGCAAAGGCATAAGTAGGACTTTTTCTCTTTTTATATGGCATTAAAACTGTTTGCCAGGTTGTAGAACACATTACTTAATTGATATATTTTTGATTTGATCACCAACATTTGCCAAATTACATGACATTCTACGTTATACAGTACATTTAATTTTTAAGAGGCTGTCCAGTGATTCTGTCCACATTTTATGCACTTCAGAAATCCAGGGTGCTAGATTAAAAAAGAGGCCTTTTGGCTTCTTCACAATTGTTTGGAATAAAGAAAAATGAACAGAACATCTTTTCAATGTGTTTTTAAAACCGTTTAACATGGTGTTTTTCTTCTCTGAATTCTATCACTATTAGCTCTATATGATTGGTAATGGAAATCCACAGGGATTTAGAGTTCTTTAACCAAACGAAGTGGGTTCCTCCAAAAAAAAAAATTGTTCCTAATGTCATTTATCTAAGAGCTTTAGATGGGATAATCAATGCTGGGTCATGGCAACTGGGAATTGAATGGTTAACGTAGCCCTTTCACAAAGGATAAATCTCTTGGGAAGTCTTGGATTATGTCGCCGTCTGTGCTATTGGTGAACAAGCTGTTGGGCTGAAGAAGAAAGACCTGACTTTGAAATCTTTAAATCACTAGTCTGCTTTTTCCTTTGTATATGTTAATTGGGATTCAGTGGTTTCTGTTTAGGGTAACACACAAAGGATGACCACACAAAACCCAATCGGGATTGACCGAACTGTACACTATATCTGTGGTCACACATGTGCATGGTAGTGTTTTATAAGGAGCATCTTTATGTCTTGTGATTACCATACAGAACTGCGCAAGTGATGTGGATTTGTTGTAGATTCTGTATGGTTTTGATGAATATCACAAGAGGAGATTGACTGGAATCTAGTGCACTGTGACCTGCCGTATGGTTTCTAGATTAAACATTTAGGGAAAATGCCCCAAATTGGTTCTCTTTGGAAAAGAAACAAACAAAACATAAAAGAAAAGAAAAAAAAATAAACTTAGGAGCTGTTTTGTGCTCCCAAAAGTATGTTCCCATTCCTTTTGTATTGCACAGCCCTGCAACCCAGTGCCAGGCAAATCAATTTGATCCAAATTAAATCTATATTCATTTTACCGTTTGAACAAAACTCAAAGTGAAGCCAGTTTGACATGTAGTCTTTGCATTTTCCCTCTCTCTAGTGTATTGCATCTATTAGTGCATTTTGCTAACCTCTGCCTCCCGTGACCAGATATGCATTGCAACCCCCATCCTTTCTTTCATTTCAGTGCTTTGCCTCTTGTCCTGCCCGCTCTGAAGTTTTGGACGAATAAGTGCATCCCTCCTTACCTGCTCTTGCCCTTAGTATGCCCTTAGCACCCAATATCCCCTGCCACACACTTCAACGCACAAAGTGTTGGCAAGTGTAAAGTAGAATAAGTGAGCCATGCTGCTTATGTTTTTTTTTTCTGTTGTTGGATCCGCAAAGAAAAAAAAAAAAGCTAACATCTTGGTGTTAGAATATCATGTTATTAATCCTGATCTTTTTTTCATTAGACCCACAAGGCTCCAAATCGGATGGTACTCACAAGAAAGGTACTTTCTTTTTATTTATCCAGGATTATACAAGCGTATTGATTCAATGCAATCTGGGCAATATCTAGTCTGCGAAAGGGCTAAATGATACATTGAGTCATCGAGTGTGTTTGGTTAATGGTTGTGAGTTATATAACTTGAGCAATTTTTTATTTTTTGGGGGAAATGGCATGCTAACTGAGTGCGTTCACATGGACATTCTTATACAGATTATTCTTATTAAGCATTTTTCAGGTCATAAACGGCTTGAACAAACTGATTGACTCTTATTGAAAAAGTGTGGTATGTATCAGGAAAGCATTCTTACTGCTGGTTAGGGCTGGTATGGCAACAAATGGAACATTTGACTACTTCAAGATTTCAGTTTTTAAATCTTTTAACTTGTCAACATGGGATGTGTTCACATGTGTATTTCAATTCTCTTTATTAGTTTGGTCTGGACTGAGACAAAGCATTTATTCTTAGCATTCACAATGTGCTTTTAAAGGCTGAAGCTGAAGACCTTTTTCTTCGTTGCTGCATGGAGGGCGTTATAGTGACCAGCGTTTTCCGGTAGGCTGCTTAGAACTTCCATTTATAATTGTCATCAACCAGAGCTGCGTTTCTTAACTGGGTGTCAGTACTGTTTTGAGTGGCTTACGAAGTGTTTTTGTGATGCAAAACTTTAATTTTGAAAGAAAGATGTGCTTTTATGCAGTTATGCTTCTGTCAGATGCGCACGTTGATTGTAATTATTAGCAGTTATGTTGCATTTAGTTAGTTTGTATTGCGTAGTGTTTACTATTGTATGTGTTGTTCTGTCATTTCAAAATGTCATTTTATTTTAACTTTGTGCCACTGTTTTAATCAATCTGTCAATGGAACAGTACAGGCTACGTGTGTATGTCAAACATTTTAGAGAGTTTAATTTGTTTGGGTCGGGTATATATTTGAAAGAAAGAGAAAATGTTGATTTTAGCAATGGCAAGGCTTTATTTAAATAGCACTATAGATGCCGTCTGACAACAAGGGAAAAATGCCTTGCAGAAGTAGTTTCTCATCCTATTAAGTTGCATTTTTAAAAATAATCAGTCCAGGAGGTGGTGCTGATCGACAGCAGTATTAGTTCAAAGATGTTAGTAACAAGTCAAATGGATTAAAACTATTGTTTCAAAGCTGTCCGAATGTAACTCTTTATACGCATCAGGTGCTGACCGGAAGTTCTTAGCATTCTTCTTGCCATACACGCAAAGCATTTCAAGAGTTCACACCTAGCTACTGATTGATTATAAATCTTGTTTGGCATGCTGTCACGGGAGAGAGCCCTGAGCTCATAAGATCTTCGAGCTCGGGGCTCCCCCCTGTTTGCAAGGCAAGAGGGTAGTTTGAGCTCAGGTAGATCTCTAGAACTCCCCTACTGTAGTAGCTAATGAACAGATAGTGATTGCTCTTAAGAGATAACGACTTACTAGGAGCATGTCTATGGTGCCGATTTGGATTAGTCAATTAACTTAAGTTGCATGTTTTTGGACAGTGGGGGGAAACCTATGTGAGCACGGGGAGAACGTGTAAACTCCGCACAGAAACATCGACTAGCTTGGTAAGGGATAGAACCAGTGACGTTTTTGCTGTGAAGCAACAGTGCTAACCACTGGGCCACCGTGCCACCCATCTAGGAAAGGAGGAGGAGGAGTAGGGGTGGAAGGGGGGATTCTTCAAAACGAAGATGGCTGTTATATGGAACTTATAGGGTATTTATAGTGGCTTAGGATTCATCTGATTGGTGAATCATAAATTGAATAATGCAGGGCCAGCTGCAAGCAATCATAAGCACATGATCCTCTCGAAATTAGTTTATAAATAAACTTCACAAAATTTTGTGTTTTGTGTTCACATAATTTAGTGTTTTAAGAAAAATGTCTATAAATATATAAAAAAAATGCTTTTATGATATATTTTGCTGCAGAACCTTTTGAACTTTCAAAACAATGCTGTGCGCTGAGATAAGCACTTTTGTTGTATGTGTGTACGTGCACTGGTATTTTATCTGTTGAGAACTCAAAGCCTAAAAAGTGTAAAGCTTTCACAGCAGCAGGAATTCCTCTGTTGCATACACTAAGATCTGCTGCAAGCAACTTGTTTCTGACTCCTGTATTGAATTGTAATGGGTAGCGTTGCGACTGACGAGGAAAACCAGGTATGCTTGAGAATTCTGCTCTGTTTATGGTCATGTTTTGGCATGGTGCTTTATTTATTGGTGCTTTTAGACGCCTTTGGTCTATGTTGTGTTTTAGCGAAAAAGCTTATGACTAGATTTATATTGATTATCAATTAATTGAATAGTCCAATTAATTTTATTACAAAAAAATACATTCTGGGGTGGCACGTTTCTTCGGTGGTTAGTGCTGTTGCCTCACAGCATGAGGGTTGCTGGATCGAGCCCCAGCTGGGCCAGTTGGGGTTTCTGTGTGGACTTTGCATGTTCTCCCCATGTTGGTATGGGTTTCCTCCAGGTGCTTCGGTTTGAAATCCAAAGACATTCTATGTAGGCGAACTGAATAAACTAAATTGTCCGTAGTGTATTTGTGTGACAGCGAGAGTGTATGGATGTTTCCCGGTACTGGGTTGCAGCTGGAAGGGCATCCGCTGCATAAAACATATGCTGGATAAGTTGGTGGTTCATTCCACTGTGGCGACACCTGATAAATAAAGAGTCTAAGCCGAAGGCAAATGAATGAATGAAAATCTACATTCTACTTAAAGGGGTTCATTCAAAACCGAAAAATTGTCATTATTTACACCGTTTACTTTTTTCTTTTGATAAGCACAAAGGACGATATTGTGAAGAAAGCTGAAAACCTCTAACCACAGTATTTGTTTTTACTACTATGGAAGTCAGTGGTTACATATTTTCAGCTATATTCAAAATATCTTTCTTTGTGTTCAACAGAAGAAAGAAACTCAAATGGTTTGGAACCACATGAGGCTGAGTAAATGGTACATTTGAATTTTTTGATGAACTATTTCTCTAATTCAATTTTAACATGGACTTTTAAATTCAGTAGCGTGCCATGAAAAAGTACAAATGTAAACTAGAATTTGACAAAATTTAAAACTAAAAGAGCAAAACTAAAAACCTTTAATAAAGGGGTATATGCACATAGACTTTAAATTTTTGTCAGCCGGCCCCGGGACTTTCGGTTAATTGTCATCTTATAAAAAATTGCTGTGTTTAAAATCTAATTTCTTAAAAAAAAACAGCGATCTTCACTGCCTAGATGAGATACGATATAAAGTGGATCTCAGACCAAAAAGGAAGCACTACATTAAATTATATTTTTCCGCGTCATGTCTTTAAAATATGGAAATTAATTTTACCTCAGTATATTCAATGGAATTTCTGCGCTAATCTGCGGCTAATGGTGACTCCTGCGTTTAAACGTCCTGCTTTTGTCTCTTTTTACACTTTAACAACCTGTTTAACTAATTATATTTGAATTACATGCTGAAACTGAAAATAGTCACATTAAGCTTTCACCAGAAGTTTATCATTGGCTAAAAAAAATACTAGCTGTGCATGTAGCCCAAACTTTAAAAGAATATAAAAAATGAAAAATCTTCAGTAATCTTAATCTTGGTGCATGTTTGATGGGACACCAGGTTGGGTAGTTGGCAGTGTTCACATTGATTCAGTTGAATCACACTAACACCAGTCAAACACAAGTGTGAACATGCCTTTAATAATCTCTTTATTATCCATCTAGTTACAGAAAGGTTATTGAAAGGGCAGCACACATGAAGTGGTCATTATATATGCCACATTACATTATATAAACAAAAAAATATTATTAATTAATAATGTTATAATAATTATATTTGCACAAAAGACACAAAATATGAGAGCAAATGCTGCACACACTTAAACATGTAATATTTGTTTAGGAAAAATATCAAATAAGAAAAGTAAGAAATAAAAACAAGTGTTAAAACATTCAGTTTTACAGACAAGACTATTTAATTTCAAGTCACTTTTCCTTTCGCTTTGACAAATAATAAGCAATAAGTTAAACTCGTTCATTTTCAGTGGAGAGTAATTTTGTGAAGTTCTGAGATGCTAGAGTTTCAGATCCCATTTGAGCTTCTGATTCATTGAATTATTTGCAAGTAAACTGTACCTGACCTGATGTGATGCATTCTAATCAAATTGAGGTTAGATTTGCCAGTATTTTTTCCACTAAAATGTAATTATTTAAATACACCTTTTGTAAAATTGTAGTTATGAATAATTCTGGCTGAAATTTATATGTTTAATAATTGAGTCACTGTTGACACAAGATTAATATGTTTTTGCTTCAGACAAATTGGGGTAATTTGCTTTGTGTGGATACTAAAACATTTATTATATTTATTCGTATATAATATCACAATCATTAAGAATTTTTCCATCTTTAGGCAGTATGCTAGATTAATATAGGAATGTCAGAATGGTGACTTGAAAGTATAACAGCAGTAGACTATTATTAAATTGATTTAAAAAATAAATAAATAAATAAAACCACCATTTACTCATGTTAAATGGTTTTAACCTTTTATGACTTTTATTCTGTGGAACACAAAACAAGTAATACTGAAAAATGTTCTGACATCATCAATGAAATGCCATTGACATCCTAAGTAGAAACACAAATGTCAGCCAGTGACTCAAGTCAGTGACATTCTTCAGTATATCTTCCTCTGTGTTCGACAGAAGAGAGAAACTCAAACAGATTTGGAACAAGTGGAGGATGAGTTAATGTTATTTTTGGGGGAACTACCCTTTAACAGTAAATGTTCAGGCAAACATGAAATGCCAGACGTACAGTACTTGTTCTTTCTAGTGCTGCGCTGCTTTAACATTGCATTTTTTATCTATAAAGATTCTCAATAGAACTGTTTGAACATCGTGTTTAAACCCAGTGTGTTCTGCAGCATCTGATGCCCAAACCAACATAAATAAAACATTAAACTCTAAAAGTGAAAAG